ATCCTAACTGGAGCATGGGGTTTGGAACCACTGGGGAATTACTATGGTGTGCTTAAGGGTAAAGGGAAAACTATATTATGAAGTTAGGTGTAATCCTAGTTATTTAGGAAGCTGAGATCTGGATATCATGATTCAAAGCCAGCCAGGGTAGGAAAATTCATGACTCTTATCTCTGGCTTTTTTCTTTTTGCTTATGTGGTGCTGAGGAATCGAACCCAGGGCCTCATGCATGCAAGGCAAGCGCTCTACCACTGAGCCACCTTCCCAGCCCCTATGACTCTTATCTCTAATCAGTAAAAATCTGGAAGTGGAGCTGTAGCACAAGTAGTCAGTGCCAGCCTTGAGAACAAAAATCTCAGGGCTGTAAGTTCAAGCCCCAGTACCGGCATACACACACACACACACACTATAAAGACTCAAAATATAGGAACCACTTGCTATCATTTATTGTTCTCCTCAGTCCCAGTTCTGCCCAAGAGTTAGAGTTGTACAAGTGTCAGAGTAATGGAGATTAGGAAGAGCTGTCTGTCACCCTCTCACCATGCACCTCCAGTTCACGAGGTACATACAGTGTGTTCACAGGAAGCTTCTGCCACCACCAAATAGATCTCATTATAAGCAAGCCAAAATTGAGCAAAAATTAATAACTTCAGCCCATGGGGTTCTAGCTGTCTTTTCTCACTTCACAGAAATCTGAGTCCTACCTCACAAACGTACTTCACATATTTGAGGATGACTATCATGTTGTCTGAGCATGTCTAGTCTAAATATATTTCAAGAGCTCCCGATGGGAAAGCCCTGTGGGCGGTGCTCTCTGCTCCTACTGCTCCTGTATACCTTCATGGGTCTTGGAAGCCAGATCCAGTGCCTTGCCACAGGGGAATTTCCACAGCTGTCTTGGAATGGATGAGGCATTTGTGTTACCTTTCTCTGAGTTTTTGTCAGATTTTATTTTTCCTTGTGGAAATGTGAAGCCTATAGGCCTACAATGGTTACATACTGAGTTAACTGGCACCTCACACTCATATCAGAGGCCAGACATGTTCTTATTAGAAGGGCAGCTGAACATCTTGAAGGTGCTTTAAGGATTCTTTTAAGAACACACATTTGCTGGGTGCCTGTGGCTCATACCTGTAATCCTAGTTACTCAGGAGGCTGAGATCTGAGGATCCTGGTTCAAAGCCATCCCAGGAAGGAAAATCTGTGAGACTCTTATATCCAATTAACTACCAGAAAACTGGAAGTGGTGCTGTGGTGTAAGTGGTAGAGCACTTGTCTTGATCTGAAGAGTTCAGGGACAGCACCCAGGCCCAGAGTTTAAGCCCCAAGACTGACAAAAAAAAAAAAAAGAAAAAAGATTAGGTGGCTATATGTCTGTGGGTTAATTTCTGGGTCTTCAGTTCTATTCCATTGGTCCTCAGGTCTGTTCTTGTGCCAATACCAAGCTGTTTTGATTACTATGTCTTTGTAGTAGAGTTTGAAATTTGGTTTTGACACTCCTCCAGCACTGTTCTTTTTGCTAAGGATTGTTTTTGCTATTCAGGATTTTTTATTGTTCCATATGAACTTTTGGATTGCTTCTTCTATTTCATTGAAGAATGAAGTTGGAATATGGATTTGGGGGAGTAGTTGGGGAGGTGGGGAAGGAAAGGATGGCAGGGGAAAAACAAAAGAGGAGGCATCAATGCTCAATAGGAAATGTACTCATTACCTTACTCATGTAACTGTAACCCTTCTGTACAGTACTTTTACAATAAAGATGTATAAAAAATTTAAAAAGCAAAAAATAAATGAAAAAAGAAAAAAATTACACCTTAAAGAAGAGCCAAAGGCCTTGTCCAGTGCACTTGAAGACTCAGTACTTAATGGCCTTTTCTTTCTTTCTTTCTCTTTCTTTCTTTCTTTCTTTCTTTCTTTCTTTCTTTCTTTCCCTCCCTCCCTCCTTCCTTCCTTCCTTCTTTCCTTCCTTCCTTCCTTCCTTCCTTCCTTCCTTCTTTCTTTCTTTCTTTCCTCTCTCTCTCTTTCTTTCTCTCTCTGCATCCTTCCATTCCCTCCCTCTCTCTCTTCCCTCTCTCCCTTCCCTCCCTTCTCTCCCTCCCTTCCTACCTTCCTTCCTTCCATATATAAAGAATGGGTCTTCTTGATAATATTCTTTTCTCCTTTCTGAAAGTCTTGAACACAGATCCAAACAGTTGGGGAATTCTGGCTGTAGTATGCTTTGTCTTAGCTGCCCCTTTGGGTTTTGTGGCTGTGGCTTGGGAGGCCCCAACAGTAGTAGCCTGGGTGGAGGTTGGGTAAAAGCTCTGTGAATCTGAGGAGGAATGGAATTTCCCATGACAGCTTGCTGGCTAGATGAAGGCGTGCTGGCTGCTTGGCATCTGTTCTCCTATCTGCAGTCTGTTACCTGCTGAGGTCACTCCTGTAATCACTATGTTTTTCCTCTATCTGATATGGGAGGACCATCTCTGCTCATTTGCCCTGTACTTCCTTCCTCACGTGGGCGTCTGATCTTGAACTCCAGTTTGCACATACTTTCAGTGTCAGAGAACAAAGCCATTTCTTGGTCTTAAACCAACTTAGAGAAGCGTCTGTGACCTTTGTTGAGTTTCTAATAGAAGCTTCATGGCTGTGAAGACCTGTCTAGAGTCTCTACAGACTGCAGCCCTGGGTCACAGCTGAATTATTCTCCAGTTGGAAAGTGGATGAGAAAAAAAACCTATTAACAAACCAGGGAGGTATACTTCTTATAAGATTCAGAAGTGTAATTCAAGAATCTGGAATGTTCAGAACTTGAAATATTAGGAGGTTTTTGGAGAGGCATCCTGGGTGATAGAGCTCCCAGGTCTGCACAGGACCTTGACCACCAGCACCATTTCTCTAGTATCTGGCACAGTGCCTGGCACTTGGCTAATAATCAGGGAGTCCTTGTTAGGTGGATGAATGAACTGATAAGAATGTAGTTTCTGGAAATCTCTTCAGTGTACCTAATGTACTACGTATTGTCAGGCAAGTAAAAAGTTCTCTTCAGGAGCCAGAGCAACCTGGGTTAGAATCTGATTCTAACTAGCTTTATAAGGCCAGGCATGTCCTTTAACAAAGGAACTGCTGAGTTAGCATTCCTTCAAGACTGCTCCAGAGCCCAGGCCCTGGTGCAGACTACTTGTAGGTTCAGTAAGTGCCTGATGGCTCGATGTTACCTTTTACAATCTTCCCCTAAAATATACCACAATTGTATTTGAACCTGGAAAACCGATGATTGGAAAACAAACCAAAACAGTGGATCCCAATGCTAGAAGCTCAAACATCTGAGAATGGGCTCTAGATAGCCACAAAGGAGAGGATTTCCTGGCTGTAGCAGTGTGAGAAACACGACTGAGCAGGGAAGAGGCCTTGGGAAATGGGTACGGAGTTTCTTTGCTCCTCAAAGTGCTGACCCCGGGCATGACTGCTCTTGGGCCTAGGCCAGTCTTCAGGACACTGCCGAGGAGGCAGACTTCAACTCTGACATGCTAGTCTTGGACCTCCTTGCTCCTTTTTACAGAAGCCAAGTCCATAGCCATGTTTCTGCTGCAGGTGGAGAATAACTAGGATGCAGCCAGGTCACCCCGGCTGCCTGGATTTCCTGAAATCCAGACATGTTCTGATCAGAAGGGCAGCTGAATACCTGGAGGGTGCTTTAAGGATTCTGTGAAGAATACACCTTTGCTGGACGCTGGTTGCTCATACCTGCAATCCTAGCTACTCAGGAGGCTGGGATTTGAGGAAATCCAGGGCAGATGGCAATGCAGGTAATTTTGGCCCCCGAGCCCGTGTTCAACTTAGAGGCATGTTTGGTTTTGTCCAATGTGGATGCTATGCCTGTAGCTAGCTGTTCTGAGTTGATTTGGGACGCCTCTTCTACATAATTTTTCTCCTTCCCATTTCTGTTCTTTCCTCTGGAAAAGATAAGGATAAGAAGGGAAAGATGCTATAGTGGAAAGAATATGGGCCTGAAATTCAGCATGTGGATTGGCTCCAGCCTTTTGCTGGTTGTGAATGGGGTCCAGGTGGACCTGAGGAGGTGCTGCTGTTTTATGCACTTGTGAAATCTATTTGTTTTATTCCTATTCCAGAGACCCTTGTAAAAGGATAAAAGTAATCATCGAAGATGGCAAGTTTCTTAGGTGGTAGAGAGGAAAGAACACGCATCCAGTTAAATATCATTCTTAGAGTCAGCTTTATTTTGCATTTTTACTTTCACCAGGGAGAATAAGGTGAGGAAGCTGAAGAGTAGATCAGCTTGCACGACAGAGACACAAACAACATTTTAAAGAGCATATACAGCACCACAGCCCATGCAGCACAAAGGGCTCAAAGTAGACCTTCTCAGAAATACAAAGATGAACAAGGATCCAAACATTCTATCTTATGTTTTCCTTATTTGCTGTTTAAATTTGGTCATTTACACACTTTATTTTTACTTTTGGAAAAAAAAACAAACCCAACGTTCCAATGTCCAATCATCTACTGTTAGGATGCAGAGACAAATGATCAATTAAAAATGTATTTGTGCCACCACTAACCTCTTAACACCCATATTGGTGGTGGTGATGACGAATACAAAGTCCATCAGATTCGTATTTTTTTGGAGGTATGAATGGAAGTTGGATACTCAGAAAGAACGAAGACATCCTTGCTCCATCACATATGCAGAACTGGGTGATCTTCTGTCCTGAGAAACCTGTTCCAGGCTTCAGTGGGCTCCCTTAATAACCAAACCATGCCTACGTTTGAAACCTCCCACCAGTCTGCAGAGAACAGTTCTTATTCCCAGAAGCTGATGAGATACAGAGAATTCTCCTTAGAGACATAGACCAAGTCCTGAAATATTGAGGAAGCCAGAAGGCAAAAGGTGCATCATACACAAGAGATACCTGCAGGAAAAGGTCATCAGAGTTAGGGCTGGGGTTGGGTTTTTAATCTGTTGGCTATCTCCTTGACCTCGGAAGGCATCTGAACAGCTACTTTCCCTTTCCAGGGGGTGAGCATGTTTCTTGGACTTTCGGTGGGCATGCCTCCACAAATTTTGTCTGGGCTAGCTCCTGGCAGGGCTCGGCACACTGAGGCAGACACTGGTCTTGGCATGGAGGTACACATGGATCTTGACCTTGCTGAGGGCTGTTTCCTTGGTTTGATTCTTGGCACTGAGGAAGACATGCCTCCTTAACTTGTGGCAAGCACTCATTTTGGCAGGGGTCCTGGCCCTTGGGGTGGCATGCCTCCTTAGCTTGTGCCTGGCACTGATCCTGAAGACATGGAGGTGGCACACACGGCTGCTTGCACTGCTGATCACTGAAGGACATTCTAGCAAGATTTGCAGAACCTGAAACAAATACAAGATTTGAAACACTATGGATTAAAAGTACCAGGCTGGGAACTGGGTATCCAGGGCTGAGGGAAAAGAGAGGAGAGATGATTAGTCCCAAGAACTCATTTCTCTGCTAGTTTTTATCTCTTACTTTCTACCCTTCCTTGGCCCCTTGTATTCATCTAGATTGCTAGAATTCCAAACCTCATTCCGATGATAGATCTTTGCTTTTTCTTTTGCTTGATTAGTCCTTTGGAAAAATTAGGAGCCAGAGAATAGATAGAATATATAGGATGGGTAGAGGTCCAAGAAATGGCAAGTTACTTAAAAACCTGGCAGAAAGTAGAGTCCAAAGTAGCTCCCAAAGATGGAACCATCAGGAGAGAGAGCTGTATCCCCACTTACTTGATCTTTCGACAAGCCTCAACCAAGGTGTAGATTGTAAAGCCCAGTAAGGTGGGACTTTTATATACTTCTAGGACTGACTTCCTGCAGGACTGGTGGGCCACGTGAGCAGAGATCCTAATTGCGGAGTCACTGTAATGAGCTTCCTCTGAAATCACGACAGGTTTGAGTCACTGCTTGGGATGCCTGTTAATCAGCCTGCATTTTGGCCTCTGGGTCTTCACCAGACCTCAACAGGGAGGGGCTCCACTCAGATGCACATCAGAGGTAGCAGGAAAAGAATGTTCATAAAATGTTATCTTAGTCTGTTAAACTGGGGTTGAGGTTCCTTGTCTGCCCACATGGGTTCAGGATGTGGTGAAAGATAAGATCCACCTCACCATCTGGAAGAATTTGTGCCTGAAGCCTGGCATCTGTTTGGGTCAAGAGCTTATATGGGCTATTCTAGACATTTCCATTGGGTGTATCATTGTGGAGCCTGGAGATCGTACTTTTAGACTCAAAGAAGTTGTTTTGTCTTGTGGTTCTAAACAAAGAACAGAGCTAGAGCTTCCAGACAAAATATGTTTCCAGTATGAAGGTTCTGAGAGAAATTTGAGTTATTGTTGGTCTTGGGTTGGGAAGTATAATGGAGGGGAAGAGGAAGAAGATTATGGAGGAGGAAGAGGAGGGAGAGGAAGAAGAAAAAAGAGGAGGAGAATGAAGAGGAGGAGGAGGGGAAAAAGAAGAGGAGGAGGACAAGGAAGAGGAGGAGGAAAAGTAAAAGAAGAGGAAGGAGGAGGAGGATGAAGAGGAGGTAGCCAGTCTTCATCTCTTGACTTTGAGTTGTGATACCCTTTTGAAAATGGAGTTACTCACAGAGTTTTTATAGTGACCAAGAAGACAAGTTGGAACAAGGTTAGCCCAGGTCCTTGCCTTCTGAAAAATCTTTTCTTAGAACTCAGGTCAATAAAAGCTGGGGATGAAAGGAAAATTCAATGCAAACATAGCCCATTTGGCTCTACCTCTAGGTCTTGGTTTGGACTGTCACTTTTACCTCCTTTGCCCTCCTTTTCAGTACCTGTTTAACCTCAAAGTGTTTGTCAAACTTTATTCAAATCTACCATCTTCTACCACCTTTTCTGTTACTATAAACCAGAAAGGAACTCACCTCTTCATGAGCTTCCATAAAATCTACTGTGTTTGCTATTTATATGACATTTATGATTGTTATGAATTCTAGTTATTTATGTGACTGATCAAATTAATCTTGTGAGTTAAGTTCCCAGGTAGAGACTATACCATAGATATAGCACTTAGAAGATAAGAGAGATACGTGATTATTGATGGGGTGAAGACACCAATGACATGAAGAAATAGATGTAGAAGACAGCTGAAAGTAGAGGAATATCTCATTTAATTGAAACTAGGAAAAGTTTATTTATGAAAGAATCCCCTTGCTAACAAAGTGGTGTGTGTGTGTGTGTGTGTGTGTGTGTGTGTGTGTGTTTGCTGATGCTGACTGAATTCCAGGGACTTAAAAAATGCTAATATTCCCCTCCTCTCCTTGACCTGAAATTAAATGGAAAGCTTTAGATGTAGGTTTCAATCATTGTCTAAGGGAAGTAATTGAATTAAATGAATTAAATGTCTTCAAGTGTTTATATGTTTTGGTTGCTCGACACCATTTCTATGACTTAATCTCTAGAATCTGTGAATATATTAGGGTGCTTGGCAAAAGAAAATTAAGGCAGAATTCAAAAATCTAAATGGTTAATCAAGAATGCCTTAAAATAGGGAGAATAACCTGGGTTATTCAGGCAGGGCCAAGCTGGTTGAATGGATCCTTAAAAAAGATGAAGTGGACAGAGGAGTCTGTGTCTAATGTTGAAAGGCTTGATTATCCAAGGTTGGTTTTGAAGATGGAAGATGATTAGCCAGGCTCGAAGGCAGTCTTAGCAGGTTTGGAAAGACAAGGGAATAGATTCTAGAAAGAAATACAGCCTATGGGCACTTTGATTCTCGTTCCTCCAATGGTTCAGACTTCTGATCTTCAAAAATACATTTTTTCTTGTTTTTGGATCTGTTAAGCCTGAGGTAACTTGTTATAGCAACAGCAAGAAACTTGTACACTGCAGTGTCTAAAGCTCTTGGGAATTCTGGAGGAGGATAATATCAGATGAAGCAGTGATGTCTCCTCTTAGTGATCCCTTATTTAAGTAGACTCCTACTGGTCCTATCAGTTTTGAGTAAAAGCAGCTCTGAGATGCATGGGAAAGAACCAAACTCCAAGTTCAGGACTGAGTGTGTGAAATATTGGCTAAGGGACTTCAACTTCCAGAGACTCTATTTTCTTCCTTTTGGAAAGTGAAATACTATTTCACAGGTTTCTAGTGAAGAATAAATCAGAATAGGTATATGTGAATGCCTACTAATATTTGAACTACTTATAGCACATTCATGAAGTATGAATTGGCTCAGGCTTTACCTCTTCTATGAAGTCTTCCATGATTCTATCACCTTTCCTTATTCTATATCATTTACTTTCTTTTCGATGTGTGACCTTTGACTTGTTCTTTTCTACTCCCTGTAATGCTTACACAATGTATGGCACAGATATCTAGTTCTGTCCGGAACGTGACATAAGACCTCAGACCAGTTCTTGACCTTTTCTTGACCTTTTCCAGTCTCCTCATTAAAATAGGGAAGGTAGACTTTCAGTAAGGTCCATTCTTGCTCCGATATTCTGTCCACTATAAATATGATGATGAATGGTGGACCTGTGTATCAATGTGACTTTCTAAGTGTGTGGATGAATATGTGTGTGTTTGAATGTGTGTATGAAGGCCTGTCTTCTTTGAATAGGTTATAATGTACCCATAGAAAGACCCATTCTTCTGTCATCTGCATATGGCAGAGGCCCTGTCAGGTGTTTGAGTGACCCCAAATGATCTCTCTTTTCCTAGGTAAAAAAGGAGTAGTTGGGGTCTAAGAACCTCAAGAATTGACCATAGTGGCCCAGTATCTAGAACTGAGGCTTGGTTATCTTTGAGGAGATTGTCTTACCCCAAATCTTAAGATAAGGTGACTAAGTAGTTTCTGTGACTCCCCAACCCTCCAGCAAGATTGAGGCTAATCTGATTTCATGCCATTTGAGGTTTCAGATTTTAGACTTTGGGAGCTGTCATTATTTGGAGTCAGGTCATAATTAGGGTCAGGAGAAGAGACTCAGGTGTGCACAGGACCTTGTCCACCCCTATCCCATCAAATAATGATCTCCTTTGTTCAAATCATAAACGTTCCCAGACTTCTGATTCGCTCACCTGAATATTACAGGGCAATGGTTCTGATAAAGCTGAAAAGTATAGAATGGGGCTCAGCCTGTTTCCTGGTGAGCAGGTACCTCTGGAGAGCTCACCCAGCTCCTGAACTCTTGGAGGAGAGTCCACCATGCTTCTCCCTTCCCTTCCCTGTGTCATCCACACTAGGAGTCTGAATCAGACATGGAAGGAGTATGGATCACAAGGCCCTTGGGGCAAGAGAGACAGGAGAGACACAAGAGACACCTGATCCTATTTCCTCATTAGCCCCCAGCACAAGCTTTAAAGGGGAGGCACAGAAGTATTTATCAACTCTGTGTGTGTGTGTTTAGGTGCAGAGAGGTACCAAAGTGTTAAAACTTTGTTCAAGGCCATGGCTTATGTCTTGTCTGAACAATAGACTATGGAAACACCCTACTCAACTGGAGATTCTTCAGAAGTTTCAAGGAGACAAGAAGGTCCCACACCAGCTGATGGCTTGTAACAGCTTTGGGAACATGAGAAAATTCACATATCTACATGCCTTTTCCTTCAGGAGGTCAGGGACCCTTGATTTGATGAAGGACCAATGGGGAGAAATGATGCTTCCAAATCACTTCAGATTTACTGTTGGCCTTCAACCTTTTATAAAAATCTATTTTTTTTATTGTAAAGATACTGTACAGAGGGGTTACAATTATATGAGTAAGGTAATGAATACATTTCCTATTGAGCATTGTTACCCCTCCTTTGTTTTTCCCCTACCATCCCTTACCTCCCCACTTTCCCAACTCCTCCTTCCCCCGCTGCGCCCAAAGTTGTAAAGTTCATTTTCAACATAGTGTCTTGTACATCTCATTGTTACAATGGGTCAACCTCCTGTATCCATATTTAAGCATTTTGTTTTTTCCCTTCCCCTCCCCAAATTAGAAAATATATATACAAGACGCAGGGCACTGGAATCAAATACAGTGAAAACAGGGGTTATATCATGGGGGAGGAACATATGAAAGAAACACAAAAATCACACGGCACATTATAAATACATTAAAAATAGCACGAAAGAAAAAAACCACTTGTGTCCCTATCTTGGGGTTCATTTCACTTAACATCATCTTATATGGTCACATATACATAGCTTTTGACCTTTTCTGCGTGTCCTAGACATGTACTAGTTATTGCAAATAAGGGAAACCATAGGACCTATGTTTCTTTGGCCTTCAACCTTTTCCTATTGTAGTCTGGGTCTAGAAATCCTAATCGGACAAGAAATTGTAAGTTTAGTTAAGCTGTTTCCCTCATGAGGCCCTCA